TCCAATCAAAAAATGTGAAGAAAGGAAATAATACGGTTTTAGTAGATATACAGGCTACTGAAAAAAAGCGGCACCTTCACGTTTGGCGTTTAACTAAAGAAACAACAAGTGAAAAATTAACATCACATGTCAAAGGCGTGTGTGGTTTAGATGCTAATGTTAAGATAGAGAAAATTAAGCATAAGACAGAGAGGGATTACGCTTCTTTTATCGTAACAGTATCAGAATCAATGTATGAAAAGTTGTGTCAACCGGAAGTGTGGCCCATCAATGCCGAATTTTGTGAGTGGATTTGGTTTCGAAAAGCAACAAACAAATCAATTAAAGAAAAATATCAATTTTGAATTTTATTACCAAAACGTCAGGGGTCTTCGTACAAAGTTAAACCGTTTTTGTAATAATATTGAATCATTGAATGCCGATATAATTGCTATTACGGAAACAGGATGTAACGATTCTATAATGGATGCGGAGATTGTGCCACCGGGTTATGAAATAATAAGGTGTGATCGAGCGGACGGCCGTAAGCTAGGCGGCGCGTTTCTCGTGGCCACACACGGGTTGCAGCTGCGACGAGTGAATGCATTGGATGACGTAAACATAGATAACTGCTCATTTGAACTGGTTTGTGCGACAGTACACGCTAAAGATAAATGTTTATTTTTATGTTGCGTTGTTTACATCCCGCCTAAGACTAATGAAGATGTCTACATTATGTTTTTTAGGATAATAGAACAACTGTGTGTTAAATATAAAAATATTATTTTGATAGGTGATTTTAACTTAAATTCAAGTAATGATAATGTTAAAAATTATTTTGAATATTTTAAGTCCTTTTGCGAACTTACTCAGATGAGTAAAGTACTTAACTGCAATCAGAGTCAATTAGACTTAGTGTTGTGTTCATTAGGATTAAGTGATGTTGTACAAGTATGCGAAGCTGACGAGCCGTTAGTGCCGGCGGACTCGTATCACCCACCGCTCGCGGTGACCCTGGAGCTCGGTGCTGGCGGGGCGCCGTTGCCGCCTGTGACGGCCGAGCCCATTGCTTTAGACCGTGAGCCATCAGCAAGCCAAATTGAACCACAATGGAATTTTTATAAAGCTGATTTTTACTTATTTTATTCTTTATTAGCTTCCGCTGATTGGAGTTTGATTACCGAGACACAGGAACCAGAGGAAGCTTTGGAGTCTTTTTATAGTGTTTTTTTACGGTGTTTTAGATAATTGTGTACCGAAAAAGCGGAAAATGAAAGTAGATCAAAGACATTACCCCGAGTGGTATACTATTGATTTAATTAGGGATATAAAATTAAAGGCTAAGCTTCACAAGCGATATAAATCGACCGGATCTCGTGCTGATTACGAAGCTTTTTCTACTTGCAGGGCGCGAATTAAGAAAAGTATTGATAGCGCATACCTAAACTATCAGAATCGTGTGCAAAGTAACTTGGCAAAGGATCCTAAGTCTTTTTGGGATCATATTAGGGCAAAAAAAGGGGCAGTTAAACGTAAACAAATATTGAAAGATGGAGTAGCATTGTCAGATCAAGAAAGTACGACTGAATTTGCCAAATACTTCTACTCAGTATACAACAGCGAGCCAGCACGTCTGGACGTAGGCGAGGCGGTGGCGGCTGGCGGCGCGAGCAGCGCGCGCGTGCACGTGCCGCAGCTACAGCTCGGCGAGGTGCGCGCGGCGCTTGCCCGGCTCAAACCAAAGCGCTCGGCGGGCCCGGACGGTATACCGGCGTTTGTGATGAGAGACTGCCGCTCAGTACTAGCGGAACCGTTGTTACACATTTTCAACTTATGTCTAAAGAATTCATATTTTCCAAAAAGTTGGAAAATCACGCGCGTTATTCCAATACCTAAGGGGGGTAACAAATCTACGATTGAATCCTTCAGACCAGTGGCGATTCTCTCAACACCTGCGAAGGCTGTTTGAGGGAGCCATCCAGCGAAGTGTCCGGGAACAAGTTGGACCGCAGTTATCGGACGCCCAACACGGCTTCCGGACAGAGAGGAGCACAACCAGTAACCTCTTAAATGCCATGACGTATTTAGTTCCTCATGTCGATGCAGGGTTGCAGGTAGATGCCGCCTACTTTGATTTCAGAAAGGCGTTCGACTTGGTAGATAACGATATCCTATTGTCAAAGATGGCGAAAATTGGCTGCACACCTAAACTGCTTCATTTTTTTGCGAGTTACATGAAAGATAGAAAACAGTATGTGGAGTACGGTGGGTACCGGTCGGAGCCTTACTTTACTAGATCTGGTGTGAGCCAAGGCAGTAATTTAGGGCCGTTAGAGTTCAACATAATGATTAACGATTTACCAGAAGTAGTAAGAGAGGCTAAGTGTCTATTATTTGCAGACGACCTAAAATTGCTTTTAGCCATCAAGAGTGAGGATGATTGTAGCCACCTTCAGCAAGATATCAACCAAGTAGTAGAATGGAGTCACAAAAATAAGCTGCAGTTTAATATTTCAAAATGCTCTATTCTATCATTTAGTCGATCAAGGGCACCACTCCATTACAACTATAAGGTGGATGGCGAGCTAATGAAGAGGGAGGAATCAGTCCGGGATCTTGGGGTACAGATGGATGTCAAATTGACATTCCGGGAGCACATCTTGAACATATGTAAGAAATCTTATAAACGATTAGGATTTATCCTTCGCAGAGCAGTAAATTTTACCAACATAAAAGCCATCTCAGTGCTGTATGATGCTCTAGTAAGGAGTCAACTGGAGTGTAACTCGGCAATATGGGCTCCACATGAAAATAAATACAGTCTTATGCTAGAACGCATTCAGAATAAATTCACGCGATTTGTATATCATAAGCTTTATGGGGTTTATCCCTTCTATCCCTTGATGTACCCAACCTTGTTTGTTTTGGGCATGGTTGGATACAACAAGTTGGAAACTAGGAGGGATCTGGCGCTGGTAACCTACATTTTAAAGGTGTTCCGTGGTTACATTAGCAACCCGGGTGTGCTGCAGTGGATAGGCTTACGCGTGCCTGATAGATATGTACAGCGGCGACGGCGCCCGAGCTTGTTCGCGGTGCCGCGCGGCAGGACTAAACTGGTACGCAACACCCCCCTCACGCGAACGATACACATACTAAATTTGGTTGCTGAGAAGTTGGACTTATTTTCATGTTCAAGTTAGCAGTTAATAATACATTCCATTATTTTGGAAAACAAGGTGGCGATGGTGATAAGCCTGTAGTTGGACGGGTCTGAACGGTCGCCTTTTTAGGGATCGGGTACACTAAAGCTTTCTTCCATAAGTTCAGGATTATGCCTAGGATGTAGGAGTGCCGCAAACGCTGCGTTGTAACCAGTGCTAACTCTGAAGCACCCGTCTTCAGCACAATAGGAGGGACTCGGGAGATCAGGCCAACTCGATTTGTTGACGTCTACAAAAAGGAGTTCTTTGCACACTGAGTACTGTGTAAACCTGACAGATGTTCCCTTGGACAGCCTTGGCAAAACGCCTTTATGAAATTAGAGGTAGAGAAGAGAGCTTGAGCAGTTTAAAAGTTTGAATCACGTCCAGTCAGTCAAAGAAAATCAAAAGGTACCAAATACCAAAAATGAAGAAAGAGCAACAAGCAATTAATTGCGGCACTTATACCAAATTTTGTTGTGTAAACAAGTGGTGCTTGCAGAGGCAAGCTCAGCGCCCCCTCGAACCTTGCGCCCTAGGCTGCAACCTAGTTAGCCTGTGGGTAAATCAGGCCCTGCCGATGGTGATGTGAATCTCAAGATAAGATGTCTGTCTGCTTAGGCGCCTTGAAAAACTATCGCCAACTATCTGCTGGCTCAAGTTGCCATCAAAATCTCCCAAAAACTACGCAATATAACGCAATAACATATTGTCACAGAATAAAGTACTACGTACAGAAGTTGCGCTTTTTTGATGTTGACTGCTTGCCGACATTTTAATAGCCTAAATTGTTATTATTAATCAGATAAACCGCGCACGCAAGCTAAATAACACTTTATCGCTGCGCGCGAGTGTCCGTATTACTTTGCATCTTTTCTCCTTACTACGTCACTACGGACTTTCCGTGGTTGCTAAGGGCTGTTAATAAAGAGTAAAAAAATACATTGTGAAATGGTAAGTTACTTAGGTAAAGTACCTATGCTGACTATAATCGACCATATTACCCAACGCATGCAACTTGCAAGGCCACGTCGGGAATCGTGATGCTAGGTTCGTATAGGTAGATAGCGTAAACAACAAATAAACCCGAAATACGATTCCTAACAGAAATATGATCGTAATCTACTTAGTTGAAAATCTTGAAAACAAAGTTTTAATTTCAGTATTTTGTGCTATTATAACATAAATATTTTAATAACAAAGACGAGTATAGGTATCTAAGTAGGTACTTGGGTAGTGAAGTAAATTTCAACTATGTTTTATATTAAATATATATTACGTAATTATATGTGTAGTGTTTTTAAGAATAATATATTATATGTAATTTTTTTTAAATTACATTAAAACTATTTCAACTATTTTATCCTACTAACTAACTAAATATACTAAACACTAAACAAAAACTATTTCGACGAGTATTTCAATAAGTATTTACAAGAAATTATTTACGTAAACAGCGTTAAAAAAAACTTTAACATTCAATCGAATAGAGCGCGCTAGCTCCGACGCTCCGACTGCGATCTACCCCTGGGGCAGCTCGCGATTGTAGTTGTAGGTAATTATTCCACGCAGGTTTCAAGTGACAGAGGCCTGATATTGTGAAGTAGTGGACTATATAGGTTTAATATCTCTTGATACTGATATAAATAACGACAAGGCTTAAAAGACAAGCATCCAAGCCAAAAATTTTAATAAAAATAGGCCAGTGAACTTTGGAGTTTGGAGTTTGCTAAAACGGTAAAACCTAAAACTTTTTTAGGAAGAGGTTTGGACTTATATATTCTTTAATAATTTATTTTAACAATTATAAAGAAGAAGATGAATCAATTTGGAGTAATCGCCAGGCACTTTTCAAGTTCCTCAGCAGTGCAAAGTGCTATTAAAAATGTAACAGTTATAGGTGGTGGGTTGATGGGCTCCGGTATAGCACAGGTATTGTGGCTTTTATAGTGGTATTTTACTTTGAATTTCGTTAACATTATCGTAGTCACCTTATTATTACAATCCAATGCAATAAGTGTACAAAAATAAGTTGTTTAAGGGCAAAAATGCTGTTCCAATTTTTTAAAGCCGCGTATCCATCAAAAATGTTAACAATATTTACGTTTGCACCTGTTTGCAACTCAACAAAAGTTACTAATTTTTGTTCCGATGTTTTGCGCACCGAATTTTAATTTAACTTTAATTTTTTCTTTGTTCTTATGAATATGAAAATTGAGTCAAATTTTCATATTCTTCTGAGCTAAGGTAGCTAGAGTACAACTGCAGTTTCTTTCTTCATTCTACTTCTCTTTAATCTTCATATAATCTCTTTAGTCTTTTTAAGTTGATCTTTATTGGTTTATTAAATACTTTCTGTAATTCTCTTTAAAAATTTGTAATACTGCGGGCTTTTCTTATATTCTTATAATTTTTTCGTCACGTCCGTTATTGCGTGTATTCCGTTAATGTTTTTTTTTATTGTCACTTAACAATCTCTTCATAATTTAATTTAGATTTCTTATAATATTTTTTTTCTTCTTTTATGTAGTAGGCCCCTGGTGGTTCGCGTGCATTGTGGCAGCGCACCGCCTGGCAGGGCCGCCATGTAATGTCGGAAGGTGTTGAATGAATAGACATGTTTTTTCAGTTCAAGACTTTAATTATACCGTTCTCTTAATCTACACTTAATACTAATATCATAATATATATTGTTGGGGGTGACGGAGAGGCTACAGGGCACTACAGATGCCTTTGACAAAATGCTGCACATGCCAAGGCGGTAGTAGACACAAAGGCGACTGTATCTAAGGGAACAAACTATAATCAAGCCAGGTGGACATATCCCCAGGACTGATTAAGCAGTTTGAAGACTTATAAGTGTTAGGTGTATATACCACCGACTTCTAGTTAGGGAAGCTGTTTACTACAAGATAAGATTAAAGACACCTTGAAAAAGGCTGTTCTTTAAGATTAAAACAATTATTTCTTCATCAGGTAGCTGCTCAAGCTGGTCAAAATGTGATACTTGTAGACGTCAATTCTGACATTTTGGCAAAAGCCCAGAAGTCTATTGGTAACAACCTGGGCCGTGTTGCCAAGAAGATCTATAAAGACACCCCGCAAGAAGCAGAAAAGTTTGTTATAGATTCGATGAACAGGATTAAAACAGCAACTGATGCTTTGAGCGCATCTCAGACTGCTGATCTTGTTGTTGAAGCTATTGTAGAAAACATTGATGTCAAGCATCAGTTGTTCCAGAAGTTAGATCAAGTAAGCTCATTATTTTTTAATTACAATATAAAATGCAGTAAAATAAATCTTTTATCAGGCACAACTACGGTTTTTACGTCGCTACTATTTCAAGGCGGTTTCGCATAGATCTCGACGATATACGTCGAAAAGTAAGAATAAAATTTTTCAATATCTTGCTAAGTTATCCAAGATATCGATACTCATAAATTACTTTTTTTACACAGAAATATTGACCCAGTTACTTCTGCAACGGCTTCGGCGCTGTGAGAAGTGCAGCCCAAACAGCTCACACAGGTGCCTGCTATTTGCTACAGCAAGCGGGGAGCTGCTCTCCCTCAGCGCCTACGGCTTTACAAAATCACTGGCAGTACGGCAGACAAGACTATGTGGAGTTGGGGTGTGCTGATTCGGTTTTAGTATTCGATTTTGAGTAGGTTCTTGAAAGCAAGATATTGAAAAATTTTATTCTAAACTTTCGGCGTATCTCGTCGAGATCTATGCGAATTCGCCTCCAAATAGTGGCGCCGTAGGAATCATAGAAGCCCCTTTTATTATTCTCATTGATAATACTTGATCTTTTAGAAATGTATAATATTTTTTTTGTAAATTAAAGCAATTTCCATTAAAAATTTCTTTTAGAGGAGAGGGGGCAAACGAGCATGCGGCTCACCTGATGATAAATGACTACCGCCGCCCATGAACAACTGCAACACCAGGAGAATTTCCGATGCGTTGCCGGCCTTTTAAAAAGGAGTAGGCTCCTTTGTTGAAGGTCCCGAAGTCGTATCGGTCCGTAATAATCGCTGGTGGTAGTCGATTCCACAAGGAAATTGTGCGAGGAAGAAAACTTCTTCTAAATCGCACAGTGGTGGACCTCCAATCATCCAGCTGGTATCATGAGTTTTGTCGTGATGTGCGTTGGTGAAGTTGGGCGGCTGGAATTAGTCCAAACAATTCCTTAGAGCACTCCCCGTGGTAGATGCGATAAAATACGCAGAGATGCAACATTTTTTCACAGTGCCAGTGAGTCTAGCCGATCGGAAAGAACTCGGTCGTCGACGATTCGAACCGCTCTGCGCTGGATGCGTTCAAGTGGAAGGAGCTGGCACTGGGGAGCCCCTGCTCAGAGAAGGGAACAGTATTCCATGTGGGAACAAACCAGTGCCTTGTAAAATTTTCTATTTTAAAAGTATAATTTAGTTACTTCCATGCTGTAACAATGCCAAGTGGTGAATAGTAAACATGTTTCTAAAACTACACATATAACACACATATAGTTAAAGTATCAAAGTTCAGATTCAAGTTGGAAGCATGCCTGTAATGAATTTATTATTTTTCAGGTTGCACCTGACCATACAATTTTTGCATCAAACACTTCCTCCCTTTCTATTAATGAAATTGCTTCTGTCGTCAAACGGAAAGACAAGTGAGTATATATTTTCATTATATAGTGCTGGCTGTGGGTTTGAATTCAGCTTATTTTATATGGCTAACAGTTTACCTATCTGTGCCTAATACAATGCATAAGTGAAAAGATCAGTCAGAAGTCAGAAGAAATGGGACAAACGCATAACTAAACCCTCAAAAAGATTTCCACATTTTTGAACATGGGGCCTGCGCCTGGGTAGCCGGATTTTATAGTCCACTGCTGAACATAGGGCTCTACCATAGAATGCCTTATAGGGGGGATACTTGTCATAGTTGCCACGTTTTACTAGCAGGTTGGCAACTGCAGTTCTTCTGTCGCCTTTTCGACACCCACAGGATGATATAGGGTAGTGGATATTCTTACAGCGCAGTATGTAAAGCTTTCATCATAGTACCAATAAACTATTTGTCTTTTATGGCAGGTTTGGTGGACTGCATTTCTTTAATCCTGTACCAGTCATGCGTCTCTTAGAAGTGGTACGCGGTGCAGAGACATCGGAAACAACTTACAAGAGCATGATGGACTGGGGAAAATCTCTGGGCAAGACCTGCATCACTTGCAAGGACACACCCGGATTTGTTGTGAACAGACTACTTGTTCCATACATTGCTGAAGCCATTAGGCTGTTTGAGCGAGGTGACTTTTTTGACTACATTAAATACTCATATTTTTATACAATAATGATCAATCATAGTAGTCATTTTTTTGGGTATGTGCATTAATAATTTTCAAAAGTAGAGAATTATAGATTTTGGTACGATTTTAATAATGCGAGTTTTCATCAGATCTCCACGTAATGAGGAGGTCCTAGGAAGCCGTTCCGACTATTCACGGCTGGACGTCCGGCCGTGTTTGTGTGTGTGTGTGTGTGTATGTAAGTCGTACGATATCTTTAGAATGAATCAACCGATCGAGATGGACGCCACGGCGTTCGAAAGTGTTCATTGAGACTTTGAGCTGATTAGGTTTTCATATCAAAACAAAAATTGAATAGATTTTCGAGCGTTGCGCTCGAAAATAAGCGGGAAGTTCCAAGGATGGCCTGCAGGGTCTACCGTTTTTAAGATTTTTTTAAGGTTTCTTAATATCCAACCCCAAATTCCTCCAAAACCTTGATTTTTAAATTTAGCTTTTTGAACAAACAAACCACATCTACAATCTGCCGTTTAAGGCTCGGGCATGTCTGCACTCCTGTATTTCTAGCTAAAATCAGAATCAAAGATCATTCCCTCTGTGAATGTGGTCTGGATGAAGGTACTCCAGACCATATTTTCTTCAATTGTCAAAACCACCCAATTTCTTTATATGACATTATTTCCAAAATAATCCCTCGATCGGAGAATATTAATTCCCTATTAACTATCCCTGATTCTATATATTATGTCAATATGATCGCAAAATATATTCAAATGTATAATATTAAACTCTAATTATTGTGTACTAAATTTAGCTTAACCTAATCCTCTATTCCTTGCTCAGGCTAATCCCCTCCTATAACTAGATGTTTGTTCTATATTGTGTGGTCCACAATTCGTGTATTTAGTTGCTATGTTTTTATCCACATTTTCATCTAATAACCGCTAACTCCTTTCCCATCAAAAAGCCTCAAGACAAGGTGTGACAGACCAAAGACCGGACATTGGCAGAATTATTGTGACATAAACACAATATCAAGGGCCATGTTGATAGAAAAAAAGGTTTCTTAATCCTCAGAGATATCATTGCTTTCTTAGATTGAAGTTACTTGCAGGTGTTGAATGGATGCAGCAACCATTGGGAATGTGACCTCTTTTGTTACTAAATAAAAAAAATCATATTTACTATTTTCATTTAAAAATTATTACTACCCCCAGAATGTTCAACATTTTTTTTTGTTTATCCATAACCATCAACTATCATTTTAGCTCTTCGTAAGCTTTGTAAGTGTACTGCCAAATGCTCTACAGCTATACTACAGAATGGTTCAGTGGTGAAGGAAAACATAGTGAAGTGAAGGAATCTGTACATCATTAAAATAAAATATTTCGAAGACATGTAAAGTCCAACATGCACTAAACTAGCATGCATATCATACCATTTTCTCTATAACACGGAAATTGGTTGCGACCAATGCCCAGCTGTAGGCTGTAGAATGTATATAGGCTGGACAACTTACGTAATATTTATAATTTTCAGGAGACGCATCTGCACGCGACATAGATATTGCAATGAAACTTGGTGCTGGATATCCTATGGGACCATTAGAATTGGCAGACTACGTAGGACTAGACACCAACAAGTTTATTCTGGATGGCTGGCACAAGAAGTTTCCAGAGGAACAGCTGTTTAAACCTATTCCACTACTTAATAAGTTGGTGTCGGAAGGTAAACTTGGGATGAAGACCGGCGAGGGTTTTTACAAGTATGAAAAGAAGTAAATCAAAAATCATGGAATGATTGTTTACACATTTTATAAACATGTTATTACGTAAGAGTCATTGGGAGCTATTTTTATTTATAGTTTATTGTTAATAAATCTTTTTAAATTTATAAGTGTTTTTGTTTATTCTTAAAATGAAACTCTAGACCTGTATGTTTGACTTATTTATGTCAAACAAGTTTTATATTCACTTTAGGTGGATATCTTTATCATTGTAACAAATATTCCTAAGAAAATTAAATTTTTGGTAATGGTTTACTGACTAACTAGTCTCCATCCGCATCAAATATAAACTGAATAAACCTAGCAAGCTAACAGCATAGCAAAGTGGCGAAGCAATCAGCTTTGTAGCGGTTTCTAACGGTTGCCGTTGAGCAATCAGTTTCAAAATAGGAGGTTCAGATGCCTGGGTGATCAGTAATTGATTGCTGAAAACTGAATTTGAAAATGCGAAACTGTTCTCGAGATAATCGTGGGACAGACGGACAGACATCGTGAAATCAATAAGTGACTTCGCAAGCTTCGCCACTTAATAATTCTGTATCATGTAGGTATGTTAACATTTAAAAAAATAACAAATAGCTAGAAAACAATATATTTTAAAATTCTTTACATGTAGCAGTGAAACTTATCTATATTTCACGTGTTTACATGTCATAATCGTCGTCCTCTCTCTTACGTTTCTGCGCGCCAACTTCGTCTACCTCCATTTTGACAGGAGCTTGCGATGATGGTCCAGCCGTTACACGTACTGCTGGTTTTGCAACAACCTAATAATTGAGATCCCCCATTAGTTTCTAGTATATAATTAAATATAATTTTAAAAGTATTTAAATTTTTATTTAAAAAGAAGGTACAAATGTACTATCTTCACGCACAATCCCTGACGGGGTAGCCAGAGAGAACAGATCGCCAAGTGTCACGATCCTTACATACCTCTTTCGCTTCTTTCAGATTCATTATCTTCTTCATACATGCACGTCTAGGTATCCGAGTACTCTTGACCCTACCCTCTTCGAGCAATTTGCTCACATGGTCTTCGAAAGTTAGTCTCGGTCTACCTCGACACCTTTTAATATTAACTTTCGCGCTATATATTTTCTTCACCATTCGGTCTTCACTCATTCGCTCAACGTGCCCAAACCACCGAAGCACGCCCTTATCAATTTTTGTGATAAGGTCATCTTTCAAACCTGCCATATTGCGAATCTCTTCGTTTCGCTTTCGGTCGGCCATGGTAACGCCGCACATTTTACGAAGAGATCGCAAGGTACAAATGTAACAAATTTAAACTTAAAGAGTATGTTAATTAGAATTATAGCTGCCATTTTATTTGCATTTTACTCCATTAAGCTTAAAAGTAAATATTAATTCTCTATGTAGTGGTCACTATTCTAAATTATACATCCCATGGGTGTTTGAAAAGGCGACAGAGGGAAACTGAATCAGGAGATGAGCAGCGTTATCTTCTATAAAAAGATAAAACAAAATAATAAAAACAGTGGTTGCCAACCCGGCTGCCAAGTGTGGCAACCATAGCAAAATTCTATCTATAAAGCTAACTATTGGGGAGGCCAATGATAGGGACTAACACAGCATTATGAATTGCCATACGTGCCTTTTTTGACACATTTCTTCACTTCATAATAGCGTGTAGAGCCCCATTCACTCTATTTCCTGCGTTCACTTGTCGTTCTATATCCTTGTCATATCTACCATCCCTGCTAAATAAACATCCCAAATATACAAACTCATCCACTTGCTCAATCAACTCCCCTTCTATTCTTATTTCACATAACGTTTTACTTTATTCTCTTTCAAAAACCATCACTTTCGTCTTACTTGCGTTCACTTTCATACCCCTTTCTTTTAATGACCAGGTCATTAAAGTAACCATTATTTGCAACTCGGCCGCCGACGATGCAAATATGACTTGATCATCAGCGTACAAAAGGCATTTGACGGTTCACTCACCCATTCTCAACCCACATTCTTCAACTTTCAAAGTTTGCAAACAACTGTCCATAAATAGGTTAAACAGCCACGGAGAAGCTACACAGCCCTGTCTGACACCTTTTTGAATACCAAACCAGTCCGAGTAGACCCCGTTGATCCTGACACAAGCACTAGAGTCCCTATAAAGAGACTTTAATGCCTGTATCAAACCAGCGCTCAACCCAAATGAGGTCAGTGTTTGCCATAACACGTTCCTGTCCACTCTGTCTTTGTGCCTTTTCCAAGTCCATGAACGCACAAGCAGCTTTCTGGTTTTTGGGCAAAAATTTCTCCGCAATCATGCGCATGGAAAAGACCTGATCCGTACACCCCATCCCCTTTCTAAATCCAGCTTGCACATCCCAAATTTTTCCATCAGTTTCCTCCATAACTCTTTCAATTAACACCTTAGCATACAGTTTACCCACAATGCTAAGCAAGCTGATATCACGGTAGTTTTTACAGTCTTGCTGTGACCCCCCTCCCTTATATATTGGGACTATAAAACGGCTTTTCACCAGTTTCCGGTACCCGCTTCAGTTCCGCAACCTAAATTAAACAAGGTGTACAGCAGGCCTGCAACCACACCCTCTCCAGCCCTTAGCATTTCGAGTGATACTCTATCATATCCGGCTGCCTTACCTGCTTTCATACTTTTCATTATTTCATCTACACTTATCTCCCTACCTCTCTCCACTTCTTCCGGAATTTCTATTTCACTTAATTCAGACGACTCTTCACTCCTAAACACGCCTTCAAAGTATTCCTTCCATCTCTTTAAATTCGAAACTTCATCATTCAGCATGCAGCCATTCTCGTCTCGTATAGCATTCATTCTAGGTTGTTTTGAATTTCCCCTGGCAGTTCTTACGAGCTGCCAGAACATTTTAATATTTGCTTGGAAGTTATCAGATATCCTTCTATCATTCTTATCTATCCTTTCTTGCTTTTTCCTTTCAACAACTTCTTTTACTATCTTATTTATACGCCTAATGCAACTGGTATCTATACATATAATAAATCTGTAGAAAAGTCGTGTCTGTAATTCTAATATATTCTTGAAAAAACAAGTCCAGGGTACTAAATAAAGGGTTCTGAAGCCAAATTAGTGGTTTTTAGAATTTTTGTCTGTCTGTCTGTCTTTCTGTCTGTCTGTCTGTCTGTGTATTCCGGATTCACGCAAAAACTACTGAACCGATTTACATGAAATTTTGTATGTAGGTAGTCAGTAACCCGGGGCAACTTATAGGCTACTTTTTATCCGATTACGGAACTTCAAAAAAGGAAGGTTAAATATATTAATTTTCTTTAGATGTTAATTTTCTGTTGTATCTTAGTTATAGGCGGAATGACGGGTGTTTTTCAAATAAATACCATATTACCATATTTGTAAATAAAGTTTAAAATATAGTTATAATCTTGGTAAAATAATTTGAAACTACACCGATTTCGTATTCAAAACAGCGCCATCTATCATCAAATGGAAAAAGTTGTATATTTTGCCTTCAGTTACTAATATATGAAATAATATAAATAACTTACATTTATATGATTAAATTATTAGATTTTTAAAATTATTAAAAAATTGTAACGTTCAGTTTTTTTAGTATTTTTGGTATTTTATTTTAAAAGTGTAATAATTTCAATAGATAATAATGATGTCTATCAAAAATATGAAAATTGATAAGGTATTTATTTCAATTACTAATATATATGTAAAGTGATAAAAATTGGTCTGTCTGCAATTGTTGCACAATTTTCATTATCATCATAGTTTTATTAAAGAGATTTTTATGTAAGTCGTGGCCAGATCGTAGAATTGATCATATATCATAAAGTAGTCTATCATTTCGTGAAAACACTGAAAAAATTACTGAAATGAATGTGTATTTAACACTATTTGATGACCGTGTCATTATATAGCTTGACCAAATCAATGAATAGAAATCTTTTGAAGTTTTTAGTAACTAAACACAACGTTGCTATCTCATAATATTGTTACGAGCTTGAGGTTCGAGACAATTAAAAACTGCCGATTAAATTACCAAAATTGACACTTTAATTACGGATACTAATTACACCTTAAAACACTAATAATAAAACACAGTTCGCCGTTATTTCGCTTCGAAGTATTCTCTTGTATCGCCAATTCAATACTGCCCCGGTCGTGGTCTATACCGGCCTTATATAGGGCCTCAGATAGTTTCCAGAACCTTCTACTGTAGCGACATCTAGAATGTTCGAGTACATATCGGTCCCGAAATTTCTGGAAGGATCTCGACTCTCCTAGTTCTGCTACTCGACACTAGAGGGCGCTAGTGTAACTAGTGTTGCCATGTACAAGACATTAATAGTGGCGCGTAACACTGCCCCCTCCTAAGACATGCTCGTCCCGAGCATTATTGGCCCCATAATAACGCGCCAGTCGATCCACATGGACAATCTTAGGAGTACCTCTGGCACCTTTTTGTATCCGGTAGGTTACGTCATTGATCCTTGTCACAATCCGGTACGGTCCGTCCCATTTAGCTTGAAGCTTAGGAGATTTCCCTTTGCTGCGAACTGGATTGTGTAACCACACTAGTGAACCTTCATCAAACCCCTTGTTGTTCATTTTGCGGTCATACCGTGTTTTCATCTTCTCAGACGTTTGCTGGCCCGTCTGTCTGACGTGCTCATAAATGTCATTCATTTTGTTCCGCAAGTCATTTGCATAATCGGTTATACTGCGTGGGGCATCAGGTGGTATTCCAGTGATCAGGTCTGCAGGCAGCCGCAATTCTCTCCCAAAGTTTACGAAAGCTGGTGTCACTGATGTACTTTCGTGAACAGCGCTTCGATATGACAACAAAAACGGTTGTATGTGCCTGTCCCAGTCTCGTTGCCGTTTTTCCACAACTTTTGCTAGGTACCTCTCCAATGTCTGATTAAATCTTTCTACCATTCCATCAGATTGTGGGTGGTAAGAAGTTGTTCGTGTTTTCTGAGTACCCATAACTCGGC